ACTTCCTGTAAGTCATGTGTGTGGTACAGTTCCACCACCACAGGAACTACAGGGCGATGTTTCTGACCCCCGTCAGGCCTGAAGATGTTCTTGATGGTTGAGTCATCTTCCGTGGGTCTGTGCTTCCTGCGCAGGTTTTCCCACTTCAGGTCCGCACCTTTTCTCCTGATGACACACTCGAGAGCGGGCCGTTTCCCCCTGAGAGCCCACATTAGTCCTGCACTCTTTGATAGGTCAGCAGTAAACAGGGGGACAATGACCCTCCCTGCGCTCCGTACCGTGGAGCCCCCCCTCCCATTACCGCGGCCACATCAGGGCACAATACACTGTTTATGTGGCGGTGTCTCTGAGCAGCGGGGCATGTACTCCTTCTGCAGGTGTAGGCTCACCGATTGTTGCTCAAGCACACGTTCTGAGTGCCACTTGTCACAGGGCGTAGCAGTGGGCCAATTGCCCACGTGGGCGACCAGTCATGGGAACTACGCCACCTTCATCAAAAAGCTACAGCTGCTTTTAATACTGTTTGATTTTGACTATATAGAAAATAGGGCTTTTTCAAAAGTGATCTGCACCTGTTGTGTAGTTGTATTAGTAACAGTGGTACAGGGGTACCACATTTTCCTTAGAAATATCATACGAGTAACTCAAGAAGATAAAATATCAACTGAAAATCTCCACTTAGCTAGAATACTCATATATCTTCATTGCCTTCCATTGCTTCAAATCTACTGCTGTTACTGACTTGTGTTATGCTAAATCTGACATCTTATATAGTAAGGTAACAGCTTGATTGGACTTTTGCTTCTGCAAATTTGATGCACTGCCCACTTTAGGAAGTTCAAATTTTGGAAATGCCACTTGTTCCATTCTTCACCACCTCGAGTAGATGAGCACATGATTTTTCACTGCAACAGGTTGGGCTTCTAAGAAGTAGAGAAAACAATCTAAAGGTCAAGGTTTGTTCAAATGTACAGGCATGAGGGACTGAATGCCACAAGGCCAAATGTAAATATCATTCTATTGCCAGAACATTGAGGAGTTTGTTAAGAGTCATGCAACAGCTTATGAGTCTCTGACATAACTTTAAGTATACAGAATGTTTGTTTCTAACTATTTTTAGGATTGGAAAGCTGAGTAATGTAACACTATGTAGTGCACCCAATCTCCTAGTAGGCTGGCTCCTAAACATTGATGGTTATTTTGAAGATGGGCTGCTTAATTACTGGTGGTGGGTAACACGTACCTTGAGTATTGAATGTTTGGTGCCAATAGTAAATTATAGGAAGTAAATTTATTAAGAATGGTCTGTCCTGATAGATCAGGTTCAGAAGGCCTGATATGTCTCATCACTTCTGTATCTGACATGGAAAGTAATGAAGTCCTCCAACATGAACATTATAGATACTTCAGAACTTTACGACCTCTGTCCCCTCCCCATTTTCACACCTCTGTCCTAACACTCCAGAGGATATTCCCACGGGTATAACCCCCCTCCTAACCACTCCCTCCATCAAGTCAAGGGGAGGCTGCATTGACGTAGTTCCACCCCTCTAATCAACCTTTGTCCTGACCTAGAGATGTTGGCTATCACATCACCCGAGTGCTAACATACCCACAACAAGAGCCCTACAAAGGCGTGCTACAAGAGGTGGATAGTGCGTAGTGTTCTCCAGCGTTGCTCAACGGGCCGTACAGAGATCGATAAATTAGGACTCCCATGACGACAGCTGACAACCCCTGTCCACATCCTTAATTCCTGCTGACATGGCAACCAAGTGCACAGTATCTCCCCCCTCCCATGCCAGATCAACCCCAAGGTCAATGGACATAATCATAAGCCTCGGCACCCTGTGGTTTTTCCATGCCGAACAGCACCTAATACAGGTTAATTAAGGAGCCAGAAAGCACATGTAAGGGGAAGGCAAATGTAGGGAGGTGTGGATAATATTACACATTGGCATTGTGTTCGGCAGAGCTTTCTAGCGGGTACAATGGGCTGCAAGTAGGCAGCTGTTGGTGTTTACACAGGCGCAGCAAACAAACAGGCAGGATGTGCAGCAGGCTTTCTGTGCGTCATCCTGCAGGTATTGTTTTCCCCACACAGCCACCCAAGCTGTGCATGGGAACGTGAGGTGCAATGGAAATATCCCCAAACTCGTGTAACACGAGCCCCACTTCAGAACTCTGGGGGCATTTCTGCACATCCTCTACTGTCTGGGGATCACGGTGGTTCCCTGGCATCACATTACAACTCTTACTTCTGTCAGGGATGGTTCAAGTGCCTCTAGGTAGGAACATGGGGGAAAACTTAGCATCTTTATCATCTACATGGATGGGTTGCTTGGTTGTGATCTTTTAATTATTTCCACTTTCTGATTCACCTTTCAAAAGTGGAAGAGTATATAAATTAATGGAGACTCAGTGATGACTGAAATATTCCTATCTGATATGGATATTTCATTAACAAATGTCCAAAAATGGTTAATAAAATCTTGGTCTCAGTAAAAGGTGATTTCACTTTACCAGACACCTTATCAAACTTTCCAATATACCACCAGCACCTGCAGCATGGATTTGGAGGCTTCCCAATTGATTGTAATTAAATTGTCTGCTGGCCACAGAGGAAGACTTGGACATGATGCTGCTGTCCCAGCGTTTCAGACCAAACTGATGTTGGGAGCCAGACTGTGCAGTGCTAATGATGGATTATACTAATCCTCACCCAGGAGACCAGGTATTATAGAACTGGGATAAAAATGGAATGGACTGTAAAGATGGGGCATTTAAATCATGTGGAGTGTCTCATCATCATATTCTACTGTGCTCAATCAATCAATTAGTGAAACAAGGAAATCTTCATTCAACAAATGAGAAAATAGAAATAGTGTATTTAATGTAAAATTTAGATGCTACCAGCTGTCCATGGTGCTATATTGCCTCCTACCTTATCTGTTATCACTCCAATACTGAAGTCTCATTGTAGCATAAGACTTCATCCCTGTAACCTTTACGAGAGACTTTCAAAACTTTGTTGGCCTCTGATTAATGAAAACGAGAATATCTTGGTCTCTGAATGCAATTCAGTAAGTCAGAGTCAAGACCATGTATACAGGAGATACATATCTCAAGGGCAAGAAGTGAAATCACAAAGCTGACAATTCTTTTTTTTCCATGAATGACACAGTGGAAGGGAAATCATTCTCTCTAGCAAAAGATGATCTTCTGAAGGGCTGGTTTGGGTTGACATTGATCCCAAGAGGTGTGGTCTGTCAGTAAGGAGAGATTTATCTTCAGCGAGCACCTGTCAGCAGGCTTTTATCCCAGTCTGACACGGGACAGGACGTGGAGCGCTGACAGCCACCATCATTCATCCCCGCACCCAGTCAGCAGTCACAGGGGCGTGCAGACTGCTCCAGTGAGAGGGAAATTCTTCTGGTTGTCTGATCACACCATTGATGTGATGTCTGTTCACTGGGTTTTACATCCTTGTCTCTTTTACTGCTGCCAAGCAGGGAGATTTGGGAGTGTTTTATCTCGATGTGACACAGGAAAAGTCTGCGGATCAACGTGTCACATTTTCTTCCCCTTTTAGAGGTGATAGCACTGATAGCCTGAAGTCACATTATCTCCAATGGAATGGTAAATCTGACGGACTTAAAAGGACACTAAAGGCCAAAAGTAGTTGCACTGCAGACAGTGAACTTTTCTTCTTCACAAAAGTGAGTGAACCAATCACAACTCATGCTTTGCCCTGCAGTTTTATGAAAGTTGATACACAAGAAATACCAGAAACTTCAACTGATCTTGTCTTGTCTTTCATGAATTGGAAAACATAGTCATACATAGTTCAACAACAGTCTGCTTTGGCATTTCTCCAGTGTATCTGACATAGGGTGTACAAAGAATAAGTTGCAACATTGAAGTTGCATACGTACCTTCTAGTGCCATCATGGATCGTAGCTCTCGGTTCAGAAGGTCAAATCTCTTCTCCAGATCATCTTCCTTCACCCTGTGGGAGGATAACATGTGGGAAGTGAGACACAGATCCTCAGTCATCTCAGTCTGACAGGCTAGGACTGTTCCACCCTGAGATGTAAGAGCTGAAGAGCAGGCATTAAAAATAGCAGGCTTCAGCTTACTCACAACCACTTTTGTTTAATGAGGTGCGTTCCATATACATGTACTGTCCATCGTCCACATGTCTCAGCAAAAATTAAAGCTACAACTACAATTATCCTTCACAGCTTACAACAACTATCCTGCAGCAACAGGTTTACATTGCCAATCTTTCTGAATCTAACAAAACCATAGTAAAATCCACATATTCTTATGAGCTCAGATTGTGACCTTGTCGTGCTGGGAAGGAAGCCTGAAAATAGTACTGAAAGTGACCATTATACCTCTGTCACAATACAGCAACACTGTGTGGTCCACTCCTAATGTGATACCCAGGGTAGTACTTGTGTCTACAAATCCTGACCTCACCATCAGCAAGGCCAATCTCAATTGTCTGTTTTGATCCTCACTACCTGACCCTTCACCAAGTTGAAGCTACTTTGAACAGCCTGTTGGCTGCCCTGTATTTGTGTTCCTCAGCAGGAGTTCATGCCAGAGCCTGGCATCTTACTGGGCTAACTGTGGATGTGTTCAGACAACATGACAATGGAAGAAAGACATACAACTTCCTACAACAGTACACATGGTCATAGCTCACATCTAATGTGCTTCTACATGTAGATATATTCTGCCTTTTAATCTAACCATCAGCAATGGTCATAAAAAACTGCCATGACAATCTTTAATCATCCAACACCATTCGTACCGGTGTATGTTTAGAAGTTACTTGTATATGGGCTATCTCCCATTTTGAATGTCTCTTCCTGTGGAGTGGCATGAACCACATATGCTACCCAGCCATGTAATACCTCTCTATATTAGCTCTCCTGATCAGCTTGTGGGGGATGTCAGCCCTTAAGTCTGCCTCAATAGGCATAAAACTGTGTAAAGCTGGAGTTAAGTTCTTCAGATTTGAGAGTGATATCGGCCAGAGAACACAGACTCATCAGTAAAATCTATCTTAATACCAATACAAGAAGAAGGCTTATACAAATGTGATAGTCTTTGAGCCTCCTTCTCATCCTCTCTAGATCTGTCCTGATCTGCTCCAATACAGTCTTATACCTCTATGGCTTCTCCACTTATGAATCAATAATACCACATCTTTTATACTGATTTTATTACGGTTTTGTTGCTACATAGTAATAACAGGAAGCTTAAAAGACCTTCATAATATATTAAAGATAACAGATAAACAGTGTCTTAGAGAAATAACTGGGTCACAGAGTCTCACTATTGTAAAACAGGGATAAGTAAAGAAGATGGACTTACAGGATGTTGAGTTGTGTTTGTCTGCGGATCAGAGCGTTCTTCTTGTTCACCAACAAGAACCACTCCTGCATCAGTCTCTCCTCGTCTTCCTTGTTAGAAGCTGTGTTAAAAAAGGGCAACATAAAAACATATGTGATTCTCATCTTGTGCATATAACACAAAAAATCCATACAGGTGTGGTTACGGCACAGATTGCTAGTTATTTTAGAGTGCATAAAATCATCCTACCCAAAATATCCTGAGACCATACATGTAAGAACTGTCTACAACACATTGATCTTACAACATCTGCAAAGATGATAATGAAATATGATATGTGCATGTGTGTGTCTGACAGATAAAAGATGTACATGTATGTAATTATGAACAATATTTTCTTTTATTTGCATAAGAAACATGGCTTGAATGAGAAAAAAAGGGCAATATTTAATATGTAACTGTACAGCTTGTTCCTTAACAATGTCAGTAATTCTTAGGTATGTTCTGACAAAGATATGTAGTCTGAAACGGCACTAATTTACTGAGGAAGACTGTCTCCTACTGTGTCTCTGAACTAATTTTTCCTTCTCTATCAGGCTCCAACGCCACATGAACCTCTGAGAAGCCCAGACATGCTCAATGATCTCAACCAAAATGAGCAATTTCCCAGCAGGACTCTGCAAACCGTCTGTGGAGCGAGGCCCATGACATGTGACAGGTACAAGAATGAGAGCGAGTGTCTCCCCGCTGGTCCTGCATCCGCACCATTGTCCAGACTGGGAGGGGGGCTGGTGGAGGGGCCTGCCCTAATTTCTCACTGTCTCCTCCACTGGACACCTCCCCACTGGGACATCAGACAGGACGGGGACAATTTGGCCCTCATAATGAGGTTTGGATAATCTGGCTGATTATCTCACACTGTATACCTCCCTCTCTACCTGTTCCCATTATCAAACCAAACATCTTTTGAAAGTTTTATATGATGTCAGCTCTCAATTTGCCAGGATTAAATCTCCTCAACAGTAATTTCCTGACCTGTATGATACAGTCTCACCTCCAGGCAAACACCTGACAGATGGGACTGAACAAGATCTAGAGAAAAACTTCAAAGTCATCCAGCCTGGAACTTTCCACAAGTCAAGGAAGGAACTACAAGACACAACTCAGGTGTATAGAGGAAAATTGGATGTGTCTTTTAGCTCGCAGACGGTGAAACATGTTGAAATTAAGTTTCTCAGATTAAGACAGATAAACAACTTGTCTTCTGTATCTTATGTCACACACTGCAAATCTGCAAATCAAAGGTGGAACATCACTGATGACAGTCTAGTGTTATCTCTTTTATCAGAATTGATAATTATACTGTTGTCCTTTTCACCTAATACACCTTAGAATGATGGACAGTTAAAGACCAAACCAATAATATTGTTACCTAGCAGTGACTGACAGAAGCCTTTCTGATTCAGTTCCGAGACATGCATACATGTGAAGTGATAAAGAGTCGAGGTGTGACAAGCCTAGGTCAGCCCTTAGGTAGACAGACATGAATGGATGCTGGCATTGAAGTAGCATCAGAAAATGCCAACTTCCTTGTCTACAGAAGGAAGAATATTTTTTCAGCCTCCTCACAATATCTTCCATTTCACTGAACTTTTCTGGTCAGTATAAGTCTAGTTTTTGTTGACTTCATTTCTCTGATAATGCAGCTACCATCACATTGCATGCAGACAGAGTTTGACTAAGTTCTTGTTGTTGTCTTCAGCCTCCCTCCTCAGATGACCTTTCGAGCACCTCTGAAACGTCATCCCAATCAATTAATTTTGGGGATTTGTCCCCCCAACTGGACTAATACTAATAGGCGAATGGGTTGCGTGCTACCTTCAGCTTTCCTCATATAATATGCAGGGAAATGAAGTCAGCACTGGATAATCCCTGAATACATAATGGGGGCTACGCAGCACGGTAGATGGCTCAGCCCCGTGGTATGGCTTAGGATCACCGTGCTTCCAATTTCCTCCTGCTGTCAAAAACATAAGACTCTCCTCTCCCTGTTCCCTCTGGACACCCATCCGTGATGGAGTCTCCATCAGATTTGCCTCCCCCTGCAGGTGGGGGGGGGGGTCTGGCACACGCCTGATCACCTGTTGCCACACTTCCACTCTTCAGGTCCTAATTGATGAAGAATAGGATTTTCTCTTCCTTATTTCCTCTCTAAAATGACTCCATGATTTCCTCTGTGACACAGCTTACTGAACAGCCATCAGTGTTGCTGCAGACAGGTGTGTGTGGAAGCTACGGCCCCAAAAGGTTGTGCAAGAATTGACATTGTAAACTTTGTTCTGGAAATGGCTATTTTAATCTTTTTATTTACTGAGAGTTGTAAACTGAAAAAAAATGATATCATTGCAAGAAACACATGTTTAAGTTTTAAAAACATTTGCAAATTGTAAAGAAGAAAGTATACTTTGTAGTTTGTACATATATATCAAACTATATGAATTGAAAGGTAGTTCTCTTGGCCATGTATAGAAACACAACTACAGTACTCTGCAAGTGTCATCTGCCATCATTGTGTCTTCCATAAATCAATACAGGACTCATCACCTGTCAATCACACAATCATGACTGACTCATTGTAAGCAATGCAACAGGCTTCACCTTACAACAGATACTCCAGCAAATAAGCCTTGCCAAGTGTAAGGTGATTAAGACAAGTTCTATTGTTTTAGTAAAACTTTTGAATAGAACAGCTTACTGTGTAAGTCAGTAGCTCCTATGGTTAACTATACTGGCACTATGTGAACACCCACAAGTGTAGGGTTAAGTTTCATGACTATGTGTGCTAGCTTCCCATTCATGTACCAGTTGGGAGAACTCAAACATGACAACTGTTTAAATATTTCAGGACTATGAGGAGATTTAATAGTTTTAAACCCTTCACCACGCCTTCCTGTATACACAATAACAAGTTCTATGCGACGAATGTGTTAATTGTCTCAGTCCACCAAGATTTCTGAATGTCTGTTGATATTTGAAATCACCTTTGCCACCAAATCAAAGATTACAATAACACTGGACTGTTAACTTGAAAGTTAGAGAAAGTTAGCTAACGACTCAACAACACTTAAGATATCACTTTCAAGACTATATCGTGGTTCAATGACATTGACAAAAGTGCAAACATCAGTGCATTAAAACCTTGTCCATAAGAGGGCAATGGGTGATGCTTCATGATAAAAGCAAATTTGTGCCAGAGTAGATGTAGGAAACAAGATGTTGATAAGTGAATTATGTGGGTACTGATGTCAGTAAAAGAGGATGATCCACCAGCATTGCATGTGTGTGGAATGTAAACACCGGACCAATACATCTTGTCTTTGTCAGCAACGGACAAGAATTTATAGCCCTGCCATCCCAGCAAGGGGATTAGAAATAAACCATTAAGCTTTCTGTCAAAACACACTGCTAGATTAATACCTCAGCACCAGCATAACGCTGTGTGTCCCTCCCCAGGTACATACATAATATCTCCTGCCCTACCGTAATCTCTCCCACCTGGCATCCTGCCCTTCAACTCCTGACAAGGTCAGGAAATTATCTCTTCACATTACTCATGGATTAACTCCTCAGCACTGCACCCTGACAGAGATGCTACCCCTGGAGACCTGCTTCAACCACGTACTGCCACAGTCAAGTTAGGGATTACTCTCCTACCTACCTTAGAACTTTCTAGAAGACTACTTCTGAAACTAACAAATGTCAAAGGCAAAGGAATATAGATATAATCTGATTTACATCCTAAAAGCTCTGGATATCCACCTATAACTCAATAATGTATACTGCTACTGTTGCTGTCTATGTACATTTGTATAACAATGTACATTTGAATTATGACCATTTTTACTACAAAATAAATACATCAAAACCTTGATAATTGAAGAAGATAAAGATTTTCTTAGCTTTTGCAATGACAAGATTGACAGAACTAAACTAGGCTAACAATAACATTGTTATCACCCCCCAGAGATGGATTAAATAAGCTTTCAGCCTTGGTCTTCACAGGATAAACATACTAGAGCCGTAAAATTGTATCTGGGACAGGTGCAAAGTCTCCAACAGATAACTGATAACAGAAAGAAAAGAAGGATGCAGGATAATAATTTTGACCTGACATGTAGGTGAATAGGATGGAGAGAAGATGGGGGAAAAGGTACGCTACCTTTGTCATTCATCGCCGTCCGCAGCTGCTTCTCGAGAGCAGCTGCCCTGTTGTCGATCTGATCCTGCTCGTTTTCCAAGGCACACAGTTCACCAGTCACATACTCACTGGCACTCAACATGTCCTAGTGTGGGCACACAGAGTTCATTCAGTCGTGCTGCATTTTCACACATTATCCAATACTAACATATGCTTAAACTATAGTGTGCACAAGTTTCCACTTGCTTGTTACAACTTGAACTTTTCTTTCCGGCAGGTTCATGAACTGAGCCAATAGATACACATGGCAGGAAATGTAAACAAAATAAAACTGATGGTTTGACCTTCCCTACTGAAGCTTTTGTCTGCTGTTATTCGTGGTACTTAATAAGGGCCACAAAATTGTATGCATTAATTGACACACACCTGCTTCAGCTTCAATAACATTAGTACACATCAATCCATACCTTTCATGGAACATTTTTTATAGAAGATACAGTACTAGTTTGAGTACTTGTCACGTACATGTACTTGCGATGCAGGTATGTCCCTCACAACAAACGTGACTACATAACAAATGTGCGGTAAACAGAGAAACCGATGACTGACCTGCTCCTCTGGCTCCTGCTGAGGCTCGTCTTCTTCTGTTATGAGTTCCCCCTGCAGCGGGCTCGCCGCCCGTCCTTCCATGATGTCACTGAAGGACTGCAGCTTGGTCCTGGAGGTGGGGGACACCTTGCTGGGACTGTCTCCCTCCCCTCCCTTGGTACTCTTCTTGCTCCCCTCCCTCCCCACATAGATGACAGCTCCAGGCTCGTAATTCTGGGCATCATAAACAATGGAATGACCCGTTAGGCATGGAATACACCTTATCATGCAGGAGATATGGCTGCAATGTTGGCATACGAAAATGTAAACAGCCGTATATGTCTACCCAAAACCTAGGCAGACATTTTCCTTGAAGCATACTCACAACCACTGAAGCAACAAAGAGAGTTGTGTGCTGGAATACTAGAACTTTGCTTTACTTGGTGCCATCTCCACTGTAGTCCTTTCCTCAGCTGGACTTTGGGATAAGTGTAAGCTAAGCATCACAAGCAATATTTGCAAATAGTAAATGTTTTCTCTGCTAGTTGGATTGTCAATGTGCTTGGTTCTGAAAGTTTATGACCATACTACTGCATGGATAGTGCACAGGCTCCCATTTGCCACCAATGCAAGACATATGAAAGTGCTGGGAAGAAATGTGATCACATCTATGCTTGATGCAGTAGCCCATCAGCAGGTAACCCACACCACACCACACTAAGTGCAAGCAGGGCAAAGGCTGAGAGCAAACAAATAGTTCCACCATGACACCCTACCTCAGGTGACCTTGTCTGCCATGTCATGTCATGTTATAGGAGTGAAAATAAAATAAAAAACACCCATGAATGTCTGTGTCACCACAATGGTCTAGGAAGACAGATATAAACAGAGAAAGTGTCAAGGTGTTACATTTAAGGAAGATGTACAAACATAGGAAATATATGCTTCAACTTCCTTTTGACATTCAGCATTAGTAACTCAGAAAGATGCTGACAGCATCTGTCATGTTGAATCATGCAAAATAAACAAAAGTTTTGTCTTGCTTGATGAACACCAAATGACATGTCTTTTTTTCTTTTTGCCAGAATATACTGTCTACTTACCCTCTCTTTCTCCAGTTTGTTGGCAGTGTCGGCGAGAGTGTTGGCCAGCCCTGGCCGTGCCAACATCAGCTTCTTCAGCTTCAGGTCTGCCCTGCTGGCACTGCCACGCCCACTGCTCATCCTGTTCAAGGCACCTACACACACACACCAACTGTCTTAGAAACTACAAACATCTTTCCTTGGAGTCCCAGTAATACAAATGAAAACTTAGGTTAGGAACAATTAAACACAAAACAGAGGGGGACTAGTTAACTGGGTAAAATAAAACTTTGGAAAATATTTCTTTCTTTATAAATGCAATTGGTAGCAACTGTCAGACTTGAAAGTTCACACTGGGTAAGATTTTTTCTTCAAGCATATGCAAAACACTTGAGAGACAGTTCCAATGAAGGTAGAATAGGTTTAAAAGCACACTATGCTCACCTATAAGACCTACGGCCAGTCAAATTAATGTCAATACTGAAACTGTGCCAACAGAGTGTGATTAAAGCAAGGTGGAGAAGGCAACAGTCAAAAGCCATTTAACACAACAAACAACAAAGATGAAGACAATAAGCAATAGTAACAAAATGTACTTGGCTTTCTTTATGTCCCATCTGAGTTGTTACAAAATTACAATAACTGAAACAACTGTACATGACTGATCCTGTGTCTGTGATATGGAACTTATGAGTGAAAGAAATACTTACAGACAAACACTTCATGTATATATGAATACAAACTGACCAGGAATATCTGTATCTGTATCTGTATAGCCGGTATAACCGCCTTTCGGCGTAACACACCAGCTATATCTCAAACTACTGTGATGGGACATAACAAAGCAGCACAAAAATTATACAGCTGAAAAATGGTTAATTGAATATGAGAAAAAGTGTTAAAGAAACAAAAAGGGATAGACGTACCCTCACCCGAACCTGAATCAGGGCTTTGACTCTGGCTTGGCACCTTGGACCCAAACTGATAAAACTGAAAGCCTGGGAAGTAGTGAAATGACATGATATATGGATGTGGGGTTGGTTTATGTGATATTGGGATACACAATGGGGAAATGGGAAAAAATAAAGTCAAGTAAGCAGAGACAAGAGGCAAACAAAAATCCTTCACCATAGGTATAGCAACACCATTTGTAGTAGATAGTGTTAAGTTACATGGCACAGGAATACTTTTGTGTAAAAAATACCTGCATAGTCAAGAATTTGGAGGATTTTCAAAAAGCGATGGAACTGGTGGTTACATAGATCATAGCATATAGCTTAAAAAGTCATGATGTAATCATTGTTACATTAATTATAGCAAGCTGTAGTGATTGCAATAATTCAATATCAAAAAAACAAAGCTTGTGTCAGTTTTCTTCTCTTGAAGAATTCAAGAATGATTGGAATTGAGAGTCAATTTCAAAACAAGAACAACTAGTAGATGAGGAAAGGGACCCAACAAACATGGGTGATAATGAATTGAACAGTGATTATAAGATTACTTTGAACACAGTAACTTATGACTGATCAAAAGAGATCACAAGAGTGAGAGGAATTCTTGTAAATAGGAGATCAACAGAGCCCTCTGCCATACAGCAGTGGAACAGCATGTTTATAAAATTCTCTGCAAGTACAATGTATAATTCTGCAGACTGCACAACGAGACCCCCTTTCTTGTAGTACTGGAATTGCACATACATTTTATGGTCATGGAGTGTTGATAGATTAAAGCATCAAATTGGGTACAATTCAGACATCTTGATGCATGTGATGGCCATTCCAAAGAATTTTGTGTTATAAACAAAATCAGGGGGTGTCTGGCAATTCTACACTCAGGGCCAACAACAATGTTCATGGAATTATGGATGAATTCATCAACTTAATATTTCATCACAGTAATATTTTTAGGACAGCAATTATCCCAAGTAATGTAACCTTGAGTTACTAGAAATAAGATTCTCGTAATATAGAGTAAAGCACTCTTCTCCACAGAACAGCCATGGCCTGGTAAGTACCTGCAGCAGACACAGATCTGGTCACACCCTTGTGTGGAGAAGTGGAGCCTCCCAGTCCTGACAGCTGGGGTTTGTTAATCCCTGCACGGGCTTCCGCTATCAGCAGCCTCGCTCGCTCTCGCAGTTGTCTCTGTCTCTCTTCCTCATCCTTGGCAGAGGCAAAAACAAAGAGGTAGAAATCACTCTGGTAGACTGGACAAGATGGTGCTGATTTGAACTGGCTGGCATGTAATTACTGGTTCTGCAAACATAACCTTCACTATTCAACAATCTACATTGTAACATTACAAAATCCCATTTCATGACTATGGAATTGAATTACTAATTAAATCATCTATGCACACATATATACAACATATACATGTATACGATACCTAAAAGTACAAAAGAGAAAATAGAAGACTAGGGCAGGAATGAATGTAAGATGGAATATTTAGTAGTTCATACCTCATCATCATCAGGTGATTCCAACTAACAAGTATGAGACAGCACAAGAAACAAATTGTGACAACAGGTCAACTTTATGTATTTATGTGAATTGCCCATTGATCGTTACTTGCTTAGTACAGAGGATGTTATGAGAGAAATGTGTCTAATGTATCAATGATGGACACCAACACAAGCTACATAACATTCTTTATGTAAATTTGCTGGTATGAATATATTTAGAAATATTATAAAGGTGAGCATCAAGGATCAGCATGTAGAAATGCATCAACAAGGACTTATACTTCTCATCAATACACAATGATAACACATGGAGTGTGCTTACATTTGCAGGCCTGGATGAGTCAGTAACTGTTGCACGTCTCTGTACCGCAGCTGACTTTTTCTCAATAGCGTCCTTGCGTGCCTGTTCCAGCAGAAGACGTGCTCTTTCCTTCAGCTCATCATGTCTTGACAACGGGCCCTGAGAAAATCAACAAAAGCTTTGCTACTAAAAACCAAACAGGTTCATCTTATGCTGAAAGGCAGTTATAGTGGCTATACAGATACAGATCCAGACCTTAAGTTAAGAATATTCTGAAGAATTGAAATCAGATTATATCATCTACAAATGACAAAGTCAAGAGGGACTTACGTCTTGGAAACTAGCAGACTTGGGTATCTGGGGAAGTGTTCTTTTTGTCTTAGTTGTCTCCTGAAAAATAGGATGCATCTACATGTATTGTATTGTATTTTCAATGCCCACAGAATGAATTAACGTTTCAGTGACACTGTAATGATGTCATACAAAATATGCAGCAGTTTTATTTCAATATAGGTGAAAATGTGATTATTTGTATCATGATCTGTAAACCTCCCATCTTACCTCTGTTGTGTCTGTGTCATGCTCCTTGTCATGGTCCTTACTTTTCCTCTTGAAGGAAGACCTCAGTTTCTGTGCCAGTTCACCCTTACCAAACGATGGTGTGTAAGAAAACCCAAACTTGGTTGGAGACTTCTTCTTGTCTCCCTCGTCCTCCCCGTTCACCTGGTCTTCTGAGACAGGTGATCCCGGCCCCTCACTGCCAGACCCACTCGTGTGTCTCCTCCTCTCCCCCTCTGTACTCCCACTCCTGTGCCTGTCCTTTTTACTTCCACTTTTTCTTCTTTTTCTTTCACTGACTTCACCATTGGCCATCCCTTCAGGGGACTCATGAGAACTGGGTGAAGGTACATCTGTTTCTGTGGTAGGTTCTACACCACCGAGGTCCTGACCATTGTCTGTCTCTTCTGGTTCTCTGGAGCTGATAACCTCCTGGTTGAAAGTGTCAGGGGAGATGGCTTCATCTGTGCTGAAACTTCCCACTATGTATTTGCTGTTTTGACTGGAGTCCTCCAGGCCAACAACCTAGAGAAAATACAACCAATGCAAAACTGTAAAGACTGACTGCTCAAAAAGTTTAATAATATTTAATTTAGAATCATCGTGTTTAACCATCTGGTGCTAAATGCCTTTTTGTCAGAAAAATTACAAAACAGAGCATGATAATGTTTTTACAGATCCAAATCTACCAGAAATCTGAAGATTCAAAGTCTAGTGTTCTGTAAAACAGCCTATACTGATATACTGGACTGGACTGACTGTCATATCTCCCACATAAGTATGTTATTTCCTTGCTCACCTCTAGCTCCTGTCCTGTGAAGTGTGTCCTGATCTGGTACAGATATGTCATCACAGTCAGCTTGTCAGGCACAGCTAGCAGCACCATGTCAGACGGCTCCAACAGCTTGGGGATTCCCACCTCTGCAAATCCCTCGTAAGCCTACAGGGGGAGCACATCAGCTGACTCATGAGAATCATCTTTGATTGCAACAACACTAGCTTATCTGTCTTGATGCATCAGTTGGCTATTCTAATATGTAGGCCATAAAGCCAACTCTATGTCTGATTTCAAGACTTTTCAGGACCAATTTTATGAATCAAGGTTTACTCATAGACACTGTAGATTTTCTAAAGATAAACTGCTCCTCATGTTTTACAGGCTCCAAGAGAGCATGGCTGAGGACTAGGCTACTCAACACAAAGATACACATTTAGATGAATAAATAAGGACTAAAAAAGTGTATTATCTATATCAAGTTGAAATGTGTTTAAATCTAATCTCATTATTACTTCCTATGCTGGTAACATCAAGGTCAACATAAAACATACCTTTTTATTGTTTCCTTTGATGTCGTGAGGTGACAAGGAGGAAAAATCACTAAGAAAGAAATAGGAATCATTAAAAACACTTTTTCTCAAAATAAATTAGAACAAATAGGGAGACAAAATACATGTACCTGTAGATTGGTTAATCATTAGCAGGTACATGCAAGTGCAGCAGTCACATCTAAAAAAATCAACATATCAAGCAAAGCTCATTCTTTGAGAATACTTAGTCTATGTTAAATTTCAATTCAATTATTGCTGCCGTCTCATTGCCAATACTGCCCTGATAGCTGGTTATTGGGGGGGGGGGAGTAGCAGATGAAGGAAAGGACATTTAGTTTTACTCACATCATGTTGGGCTGGAAGTGATGTAGGATGGCACAGAAAGCCAGGCCATTTCTCCAGGACGTGGTGAAGTTGGTAACTTTGACTCCACGGTAACCCTTAGTGGCTTCCTTGCACCACTCCAGGAGGTCTTGTGTGGCAGAAGGCTTCTTACCTGTCTTTGGAGGGCTCTGGACAATGTACAGAATGTAGTTAACTGTTAAACACTAAGCTTAAAACAAAGTTCTCCATGAAGAAGGCAGGATATAAGACAAATATCACTAAGCTTGCCATTACAGGTAGTTGCACTTGCAACTTCAACCCTCTATCTCAATATGTTGCACAAGCAGGGACATGTGCTCAACATTTCTGAAAGATCATCCTACATAAACCAACCTCCTCAATCTTGTTCTCTTTCTCTGCTTGTGATGTGTCCATTTCTTTGGGAGATTCCTTCTGAGATTCCTTCTTTTCTAGACTGGCTCTTGGCTTGGGTGTAGGAGTCTTGGGACTAGGTGGTCTGGGGGCTTCCTTCTTTGGGGATGGTGTCTTCTGTTCTTTTTTGCCCTCTGAGGACCTTCTTTTGACAATTTCTGCACTCTTCTCTTTTGGTGACGGTGGTGTATGGAAGGGGTTGCTTCTACATATTCAAAGAAATTTGTAACATGTCAAGTGTTATGATGGGTACATTGGCATGTCATATGTAAGAGTGGAGGGAAAATTTGTGTTCAATTCATTAGTAAGTACAGTAAAGAGAAAGACAAGGGCTTCCTCGACAATCATTCAAACCAGAATTGAATAAGGTAGGATAATTACATTGATGGCAGCAGATAGAAACAAAGAAGACTTCCCATTGATGATAATGTTAGTACACGGAGAAAGACAACAAAATGCTATAGAATACACAGCCAGTAGATAAACATCTTCCTATTCCCTGACCCTATACAACAGGAAAGATGACAGGAAAGAGGACAGTACTCACTCATCAAGCTCTTCCTCCACCTCACATGGTTTAGAGCCTTTCGACCCTTTCACCTTGTCCCCACCACCTCCAAACCCAAACAGATACCTGGACAGGTCCACCCCAGAGTCCTTGTCTTTGTCCTTCTTCTTCTTTTTCTTCCTCTTGGGTGCTTTGGGAAGAGGATCAGCCTCACTCTTGGCTGTCTCCAGCCCTTCTGTAGATCCTGATTCGTCAAACGGATTCAACGGTTGACTGGGCTCATCAAAAGGGTTTGTTGACTCCTCTGGTTCATCAAATGGGTTTAGAGAATCTTTTCTCTCTGCTGGTTCTTTGACGTCTTCTGTGAAGGGATTTTTGTCCTCTTCATCATCCATGTAGGGAATGCTTTCTTCAAAGTTGTCACCAACTGAGGCTTTTGGTGATGATGTCACCTTGCACTTCTGGAAGAGGGAAGCTGAGAAGGGATGAAAAATAGCAGTCAGATGCATGCTGAGAATAAATGTCTGCACTTTTCTACAGCTACCCCTATTCAAACTGCAACTGCAAACTATGAGCCATTCTAAACCAAACAAGTTGGTTTCATCTCAACTGCAAGCTGAAACACCATGCCTAGGGACAAGGGAGCCAAGAAGATGAAAAAGGGTTCCACAACATGCACAGAAAGATACATGTACATCAATTTACAGCATGGAAAAGAACATTAATATTGAAACTGACAGAAAATAGGACAGGCTTGGGACAGACTATCAGTTTGTCAGTAGTAACCACTGCACAAATTTACAGTGTTACAAATACAATGTGGTATGTGTATGTGTTACCAGGCAGTACATAGCACAAAAATTATAGGTGTTAATTGTGCAACAATGTCACACATAACTGACTATCAATACAAATATGCACACAAATGCCATGCACTCTGAGATGATAGCTGGTAAGAGTAAGACAGGTCCACATGAGAGAGACAGAGGGGGGAGGCACAGCGCACATACAGATTTCATCCATGGCTGTTTCAACTGGCGGTGAAGGAATGTTTTCTGGATCCTTATCCCAACTCTGCTTACTTGGAAGTCCGGCATTTTCAGAGTCATCTTCATTAGTTTCTGATTGGTTTGCTTCGACAGGCTCGTTATCATGTCGTGAATCACTGAGGGAATTGTGGGATGTGGCATCAGGGGTTCCCATAGAGGTAGTGTCATTCTGGGGCTTAGGAACTGCTTCATTGTGAACTGTTGCTGAAACATCAGAATGGTGGAAAGTCCTGTATATTGTAGGAACTTTGAAGCCTGAATGCCATCCTGATTAGTGAACAGCGTATACAGATGTCTTTTTCCACAGTCACTATCCACTACTGTCTGTGAAAGAAGACACAATCTAACCAGGATGGCACCCAGGGTAAGGATTTCCTCATATGATTTTCTCTTAGTAAGTAAAAGACGTCTACCAGACTGTCTCTACTGGCACAGGCAGCATTACAGTAAACATCAGGAAAAACGCATATCAAACATGGTACAGGTAAATTGACTTCCAAGCTGAAAACATTTTACATAGTATGCAGCACACAGGATAGAAAGTGTTTTTTCAGCCAGCAGAAAGATAGTCACATACTGAATACACACTCTCAGTCCACAAATGTTAAGCTAAAAACTGTTTCAGGTGAATACACAGGAACAGTGAGCTTAGTACTTTAGTATGAAGCAGCACAACCCAATAAACTTTAAGAACTCCATGCCAAGAGGTTCCTCCTACCATTCCTGTTTTATACATCAGCTCACTTTTTTCATGCTCATACTAGTAACATCCATTTCCAATCTTGTGGTCAACACAGGCTAATCAATAATTTACAAAGGACCTGCTGAATCTTTATCCAGCTTTGCTGATGCTTTCTCCAGACCACCTTCGTCATCATTGACAGCAGACTGAGAAACACTGTGCTGTTTCTCTTCATTACTGACTACAGAGGTCTGTGCCACTTCTTCTTTAACCTCTTGAGAGGTGCTTGGTACAGGCTCATCTGACTCCTTGTACTGCTTTGTTATCTGTTTAACTCCACTGTCTTCCTCAGCTAGGGAATCAGGGAGAGTCTTGTGTTTATAAGACTCTTGGCAAGGTAGTACGGTAGCTTCACCCTTATGTACTACTATCACTGCAACAGGAAAAACCCAACATCAGCCACAACCAACACACCTGTTCTGATTCACGTTACCTGCAGAGGGGAGAATATTTCTGAAAAGTATCTTATCACTTCTATTTGGGCTTTCAGTTGAATATGACTGAATTGTGTAAGTAGTTAATTTGACATTATTTTTAGCCAGGTTTATGTTTTTGAGGTTTTTAGGCCATCCTACCACCTGATAGAAAACATAATTCTATTTGTTGGTAAGATCTAGATCCTTAATCGTCAAATCTAATCCCAGCATGATGAGATTGTGGAAAAAGAATGCACTGATCAGACGCTGTAAACACATAATTCAAAGAAAGAATCTCAAACAAAATAAGAACATTTTATAGAACTTACCTGTTGTGACTTCCTTCGGTTCAGCAAAGGGATTTCCTTCATCCTCCTGCTCCTCGTCATCAATCTGTCGTAATTTTGCCATCAAGTCAGCGTACTGAGCATTCACCTCCTCCCTCTGTGCAGAGGTGTCGGCAGTCTCCTCATCCTCAAAGTCATCAATATTGCCGATATCTGGCTGGTGGAAGCTCATCAGGCTGGCAATGCTCTGCATGTCTTCATCCCTGCAACAGAAGGAGTCACAAGTACAGTTAGAACAACAGCTACAATCTTGTGGGATTTTCCCAAGTTAGTTCTCTACCTCCTCGCTTCTACTGCATGCTACCTACAGACCCTCATCCCCTGAAAGAAAGGCCTTCCCTGTTAAGAACAAATCCTTCAAGCTCAAAAACCCTACAAGTTAGTACAACCTATTCATGCTGAATTCAATATGATTCATCTACTCGCTACACATACATGTTCCTAAACACAGCCGGCATGGTACCACGCTAAGTGGGTGGATGACAAAGAGCCTGTCCGCAGACTGGTCAGTTAGGTTGGAAAAACTAGTCTCCTTACATATCATTCTCCTACATACATGTAACTACTCTACAACGTATGCAATGCCACCATACTACACCCCTACACCCTACAGCCATGTGACGGACAGCAACACCAGGTAACTGAGATCAGACAGGTGGGGTGACAGCTGTGTGAGAGATCAGTGCACATGACGGTTAACATATGGGGAAGTGCTGATCAGGCCCAGTCAAGAGAAAAGTCCAGAAATACCATGAGAAACCCTGGAAAAAGACAGGTCTCGGAGTTAGAGTAACAGATCCTTAAGTTCCTACACCACAGGGAATGGTTGCTGTGTGACTCTGTCAATGACATATACAGTTTACCCAGCCAGAGCTGTCATAGAGTTTCTCATGGTACGTGTCTCATCATTGGAACGCCATTTACGCATTGGTAGGTTCCGGAAGAAGGGGACCCGGACCCTTTTTGTAACCCTAGAGGGAAGAAAGGAAATAGTATTGTACACAATAACAAGCTGGCATGATTAGTAAATATAAGTGCACTGATAAATGTTCTGGAAGTTACTCTGACAGTCTGACACCATGAGGCTGTTACAGGAGTGTAGAAAGCAAGGTCGGGCCTGATCAATGATCAGTGCAGTGTTAATAATGCAAGGGAGGCATGCATTACATTATTAGAGTCCAGCATGTGAAATCCCTGATGTGTCATACTAATACTTTAGTGATAAGGCCACATCAATTTAATTTGTTGGTTCTCGGATTCGCCTCTTCATTTTTTCTGATTTGCAAAAAAAAAAAGATTCTGGTTCTGAATCAACTCAAAAATGCTCATATTTTGCCCCCAACAGTTGAGGAAAGTCCTTTTCATTGTTCAAACATCAACCTAGCCTTTTGTGTTGACTTCATGGCTCCTATCGAGGCATTTGGGGCTATAATAGGATGCCTACACCTGTTTTTATTTTTTTTTCGCCCTGTTGCTTCATATTTGTTTCTGAAAAAATTAGAGAACCAACAAATTAAATTGGTATGGCCTAAGATACACATGTACTACAAACACATGTTAGCAGGGGTTTTATTTCTCACCAAATATGGCCGAATTACAAGCTGATAGTTGGACTTAATCATGTATTTAAAAAATTCTCTTTAATCTAAGGGCTGTCGATGAGCCCAAAGCACCTAAGTGTGAAATAAAGCCCTGCATGAGAAAGTGAGGGGTGAGGTGAACTACTTACTGCACACCATAACAAACCACCTGTTCAAGACTGTACATGTCACTTCAACTAGAAAATTGTACAATGTAGAAAATTTATCCAATGATACCACTACACAATATTATTGACAAGAAATAATTGCTTACTTGATATAGTGCACACATAAATATTTTCATACCCACATCACCAGCAATGCATCATACCACCTTTCAACTTATTCAAGGAGTACTGGTATTTTGTAGAGTACACAGAGGTACATGTATTACCTGTTTCTAAAATTCATTTATCCAGTCATAAATTACAAGTTTGTACAACTTTATGACTTAAATTCAGTAAACAACCCCTTTCAGTTTCACAAGCCTGCTGTGCCCCCTGTCATCATCCACAGTCTATGAGTATGAGTATGAGAGAATGAACTCAATATGTTCCAGTTCAACAGGAAAATCTCAGTTTTACAACAATGGAGCCCTCCTCACAACACACACACACACACACACACGTCGTTCATGCAGTGATCCAACTGTCGATAAGCAAGAAAACTGCAAGCTGCTACCTCTCTATTGACAAGACTTGCTAAATAAAGAAATTCCAAACTATGAAATAAGAAGATTACAAATATATTATGCATTTTAGCCACTCAAAACTGTAGAGCAACTCAAGGCCTTACTCTTAGATGAATACCATTAAAAGAATGGATGAGGAAGATATAATTTAGTTTATTTGTCTAACTTGCATTTGAGCTTTCCAGCTTTCTTTACACACAGTTCTAACTAGACAAACTTAGTACAAAATGAGAGTTAAAATCTGTGTCATTGAGACAAAAATACTTACGTGGCCTTTCCCTCTCTAAGGAAGACACATGACAAGGTGAAATGTAAGGTAGCAGACACCACTTTCTTGGTGAGTGGCCGGAGCTTGAGCTTGAGCTCCTGTTGAGTTGGGATTGCACTGGCATACTCCCTCATGTTGATGTTGGCTGTGGCTAACTTTCTCCGCTTCCCTGTCCTGGACTCCTTTAAACATTAATCAATGCAGAATCTGATGTTATTTTGATGACCATGTTGAATTCAGTAGAGATAAGTAAGCACAGCTCTGCATTACAATGCAAGTTACTTTGCTAGCAGTAAACTTCTTGCTCCCTCCATTAAAAAGAGTTCATATTTTAGGTAGTATGCTTACTTGCTTCTGCACGTTCTATAAATTATGAAGCTACAAATGAAACCTTTCTGATGAGTCATACTCACATCCTCAATTACAAATGTCCATTCCTTGTCATCATACTCTGGGTTATTGGGATCCTGCAAGGAAAAATACAAAAGTTGTAGCAATGAACAGAAAAAGGATTTCAAGTTTACAAAATCAGAATTACCTCAGTAGTATGCATTAAAACAAGTAACTTATATCAGGGCTGTAACATAAATGTTTTTATTTGACGGGCCAAATTGCTGTCAAGTATTAAAGTCAAGGCTGTATCTCCCACCTGAAAGAGTGTGACTGTGATCTCCACGTTCTCTGGAACAGGCCACACCACTGCCCCCCTGTAGGGGTTCTTGATGCCTGGCTGCCATGTGTGCAGCTGGTGAAACAATTAAACACTGTGACATGTGTGACATGGAATAGCAGCGGTCGAGACTACAAGTGGTTGGTTGATGCTGACAACTTGTTCTTATTACATCTTCCTCAGAATACAATTCAATACATAACATTCAACTTCCTTTCTGTTAATGGTGTTACTATTGGATTATGCCTTGCAAGTCAAAACCTTTTG